AATCATTTTCAATGACAAAGTTAAAATCTTAATACAGTACAAGAATCTCGGTTTATTGACAACGATGCGCATTGGCCACGATAACTCGGGACCTACTCACAAATGGCTAGTGGAGCATGTGGTTATGCGTAATGAAGTTACAGGCCACACCTATAAGTACGAAACTCAACTGTTATATTTTTTTTTTTTTTATAAATTTGCTCTAACTTTTACCAAAAACCCAGATTTCCTTGTGGTCGTTGGCTTGGCAAAGGAGTCGATGATGACTCCACTGAACGTTTACTAGTTGGACAACGCGCCTCAACAAGCTCTAAGAATCCCGAAATGCCGACCGTAACCAATCATACGCCACCACGCACCCGCAGCCCAAGCATTCAACGGCAAGATACAGTTCCCACCTCTGAATTGCAACATCAGTTGGGCAATTGTGTGAATGTTATCGTTAAGTGGCATTATAAGCCGAGTCGCGATCGTGATGTCGGAACATTAACGAACTTGCTTTGCGGCGATGATGGCTTAGTGAAATGTCTTGAGCGTGTATTCTTATGCGGATTTCGTTCAATTCGTTTCTTTGGGAAGAATCTTTATATATGGGATTACTTTTGTAAGCCAAAGTCATATTTTTTAACGCTACATTGGTTAATATCTTTTTTATTTAGCTAAAATTAAGGAACAATTCGAGCAGTACTTGCAACAGGAACAGCAACAACAGCTACACCAACAATTGGATGACTCCGCATCTAGTATGGATTCATCATTTAGTGATGGTAGTGGCGCAAATAGTTTGCAACGGCGTGAATTGTCTGCCATTTGGCGATACTATGTACATTTAATAGACGAGATAAACGCGGCCGGCAGTCAACTGGGAAAAGATGGCAAATTTCAGTTGCTAATTTGTCTGAGTTTACGGTAAGCTGGAGTGTAACACCGTTTTATGAAAGTTTAGGGCAATTGAATCGTTCTCCAAAAAGCCTTAGAAATTCCTGAATGTCTTTTGAAGTCAATATCGAGTCATAAACCAATATTATTTTTTGTATCCATATGTGTAAAGGAATTTACTAATTACTCTAATTATTTTTATTATATAAAGTGAACATTTGCTAACACGCATGATAAAACCCATGGCTATGACGAAAATCACTCATGAGATGTATGAAGAGGAAAGCTTTCTTCGACGCAAAAATCTTCTAACATTTCTAATTCAAATACTCGAACCACTGGATGATTGTCACATTGTGCTAGAAAACTCAATCACTCAAGGCATTCCATCACAGTGTTAATTTAATTTTAAGAGATAATTCGCACACATGTACAATTATAAATAAGCTAGCTATCTTGTTAACATTTAAAACAAAGATAGAAAAACGTATAATTTTTGAATTTTTTTTTGTGCAGCTACTGATGCGAGTCATGTATTGAAGTATATTTTTGTTATGAACAAAAGAACAGATGACATTTGAGATATCGTTGAAAGTTTATGAAATGGAAGTCAGATTCTTGCCGAGTAACGTTAACCAAAGACTTCAAGTTAGGAGCTCTCGATTTTGTTTAAATATAATTTTTGTTTAAATAATATGATGTATATTTGAAAAGTGTAAGTTAAAGACTCAACAAAGACATTTAATTCCAAAATTAAGAGTTCACTATTTTTGTGCAATTATCATTTAATATTTATATAAGTCAAACTAAAAATAAAACTCTCTATATTGTGTTTAAAAAAATTAACTCTCACACGGTGTCAAATCTTACTAAAATTTTAATTATCGGTGTATTGGTTGTTTATATATACACATGCCTACATATTTCCTTAATATACCAAAGATATATATTTGCTTATTCACAAACTTATTTTCATAAGATTTATTATAATATGAGATTATTTACATATTTATATATGTTTTTTTGTTGACTTTTGTTCTCATTTATAAAATAAGACTAATCATCATTCAATTTATTTTTGCTACGAACGATATTATTTACTTCTTTTTGAGGTGCATAACTTAAGACATACATAATAATGTACTTGCAACATTCGAATACTTAACATTTAATACTCTATTGTGTGGAATATTCTCAATTCTATGTAATACATGTACACAAAATTTCACATGCGAATATCTGCAAAGTGTAAAGACAAAACTACATATGAATAAAATTAAAATACAAAAATGTTACAAATTCTGTTTTGGTTAAAAGTTTATTTTTACAAATTGGTATTTTTTTAAAATAATGTTATTTCATACATACATACAAGTATGTATTTATAACATGCCACAGCCATACAAGGGCTATATTTTGATCCGCCAGTTTGTATGACAAATATAACCTATAGTGTTTCGATCAGAACAAGTATTTGATTCCGATTGTTCAGTTTGTATACTAGCTATATGCTATGGTGGTCCGATATCAGATTCTGATAAATTAGTTATAAAAAGGATATACAGTGGTGGTCTCATAATTAGAAACGACTTTGCTGCATATAGTTTTCTTAACTTATTTAAAAAATTTAGAATGCCACTTTAAAATTATAATATGGAATCTGCAAAGTAACACATTTTATTTGAGTATAACATAAAAAAACAACAACATTAATTCTATTTTTAAGAAAATGAGGTAAACACAAAGAACACCAAATTCAATTTGGTCATATAATTAGAAACGACAGTAAAAACATAAAAATATTTATATAAAATTGGAAAAATTTATTAAATTTAAGTACTTTGTAGGATATACCTTATTTTTAACAACATTGTCTATTCCAACTTTGTTGAACCATTTGAAACAACTCGTCATTATTTCGCGGTCTTTTGTCCTTAACATCTCGTTTCACAATTGCCCATAAGTTTTCAACTGGGTTGAGATCAGGACTTTGCGGAGGCCAATCCAAAACATCAATATTCTTTTCCGAAAGCCAGCTTTTCACTAACCTTGAAGCGTACTTATGGTCATTATCGTGCTGGAAAATGTAATGGACTGGCATATTCTCAAAGGAATATGGTTCCATTACATTCTCCAAAAGGTTTTATGTTGATGTTGGTCCATTATCCCTTGAACAAGCATAATTGGGCCAACACCACGAGAGGAAAAGGCTCCCCAAGCCATAACAGATCCGCCACCATGTTTTCCTGTTTTCATAGTGTAATTGGGGTTCAACGCCATGTGGGAGGACGTCATACGTATGATTTTCCGTGAACTTAGTTTCGTCATTCCAGAAAACTCTATTCCAGTATCGTGTATTTTTCTTCAGCATTTCCTTTGCAAATCGCAATCGCTTCTTAATATTTTTTTTATATAAGCGGTTTTTTTTTGCGGCAAGGCACACACGAAGTCCCGACTCCTGTAAACGCCTTCTTATCGTCCGAGCTGAGATTTCAACATTCACTTCTTGTCCAACTTCAGCCTTTATTTTACGCGAAGTCATGAAAGGGTGGTTTTTGCTTGTCCTACAAATTATCCGGTCTTCTGGTGGTGTGGTTTTTCGAGGTCTGCTCTTCCTGATAGGGGTTTCAAATTTCTTTGTTTTCTTATACAAATGAATAGCTCCAAATACCATTTTTTTGACATTGACAATTTCTCCTTTTGATAGCACTATACAATTAACTCTCTCATTTTGGGAGTACATGACTTTTTTTTGCCCATTCTAATAATTAAAACTTTTTTAATTGAACATTGTTTAATTGAAGTATACTTTAACACTAAGTTCAAAAAAATCCAAAAATCAAAAGAAAAAACTGCGCGTTTCTAATTATATGGCCTGTCAAGAAACACAAACCGGGATATAATTTCAATTTTTTCAATAAACATTCAGAAATTAGTCACGAGTTTATTTAACAATAACGTTCAAAGTCCACACTACGAATATAATTTCCAGTGCGCGTCTTAAAAAAATATACAGTGATTTGATTATTTCTAGCATATCGTTTCTAATTATGAGGCCACCACTGTTTGTAAAATTTTCAAATCGGCATCTCAAAAACCGAGGGAATAGTTCATGCATATACAGAACGACAGGTATGGCTAATCGACTCATCACACTGATAATTTACATATATATATAGATATATATATATTATAGGGTCTCCGACGTTTTCCTCTGGGTGTTTCAAGATTTGTAACAAATTTAATAGAGCATAATTAAAAAGAGTTTACCTGGAAATAGTATTAGAATGTGAGAACACTCTCAATCTATTCGAAGTTACGAAAATAATAACACTGTGTCAATCCAATCGAAATGCAACACTGTTACTTCGAAATTTTTTCTATTCAAAGTGCAGGAGGGGAAATTGTTATTCGTATATTTGATTTTAGTTCAGACGCGAAATAAATCAACTGTGAATAAAACTTGATTAAAACTATCATTATTAAATTAGTTGAAGAATGTTTTCTTTTTAGTTTAAAAAGTTTTATATTTGATTGCATCATATATATCGAAAGCACAAAGTGAAATCATCCATGAAGTTCAATGGGAATTATGTGTAAATTTACCCAAATCGATTTTCCACGTCTGTAATAAAATTTCTTGCGAGTTTGAAAAGAATAAGAACAATAAATACCAAAAATTAAGAACGCAATTCAATTACCCTAAACAAAAATAATATAAAAACGATAAAGGTGTATATTTAGATCTATCGAAGGTAAGCACCACAATTTTTTACTGATAAAAGACAAGGAATTGTAAATATTTTATTTGATTGTTTTTACAAAAGCAATACATTCTCATGGTGGGGAGTCTGTAAAAGTGTTTGTCACAACGTGGACATTTTTGTCTTTGCGTGCATTTGTCATATGCTATGAGAAAAGTCTTTACTTGATTATATGCAAACGTCACGAAGGCATCACGTTCTACGAAACTTTTCAGATTGATTAATTTATAATATTGATTGCATAACCGTGCATAAAGATGTCCAGACAATTTGCGAATACATAGATGCATACTAATATACATTTGGCAGGCCAAATAAAACAAACACTAAGTATGTCAATGTATCTGCTAAAAAAATCTTCCGACATGTTTGTACATGCATACATACATATTACAATACACTATAAAAATCTAAGAGTATAGCGAGGGCTCAAATCTACTGATATTGTTTAAATAATTATATGTAAAAAAATGTGTAGCGCTTATCAGGTCGCCAATTCAACAAAGGTTAATTTATACACAATATTGTGTGGATGTGGAATTAAATTTGCAATTTTATATTGAGAATTAGCATTGAACTTTGATTTTGACGAATAATTGTAATTTGCAATATATTGTCAATAACAAAAAATTACTTAAAGGGTATTAACACTGTAGTGGACATAAAATCATGTGCATATTCATTATTATGTTTTTTATTTATTTTATTTATGTGAATTTGTTTTAATGTTTATTTTGTTTTTTTTTTTTGATGAAAAATGTGCATAAAGTGTGTTAAATGTAATGAAATAGCTTGTTAAAATGTTGGAAATATTGGAGTTTTTAAATTTTAAAGTCGGAATATCTCGTAACCATAAAATATTTTAGAAGACAACGCTACAATCTCAGATAGTGATCCGATCTAGATAGCATATAGTTACTATAAAACTGACCAATCGAAATCAAGTTCTTCTAAGTTGTAACTTACTAAATCATAAGAAATAAACATACATACATATTATGTATCTAAATTATTAAGATATAGAGGTATACACCATAAAACTTAATAATCACAAATATAATTACATACGTATTACTAAATAGATAGATATTTAGATAGAGTGCGTAAATTATTCATCAAGCCTAGAAACAGTAGCTCGTGTGGGTAAGATTTGAATTTGCTTATCAATGAAGTGTTGTGAATGAGGTATCAATAAATGTACAAACTATTCCTAAAAAAGTATTTATATGTACATTTATTTCAGAGTTAATATTTTTGTCCCGCAGAATGCTACACAACTCACTGTAGTTACAAACTACTAATATTAAGATAACATATTTACTTTGAATCAAATCAATTTGGATTATTTTATTTTAGTGAATCATAAGTAAATTGTGTTTATTCAAAATATTTAAGTTAATTTTTTTCGTAGTTCATCGTTTAATTCGTGAATTACGTTGGCTACGTGGCGTGACTGTTTTCAATTAGCTTATCGCTATTTTCGCTCATCCGCTGTTTTTGGTCAATGCTGTTCTTTATTTATTTTTGTTTGTTTGTTTTTATGAACATATATATATACTATACGAGTATGCATTTAATTAGTAAAAAACAAACATGGAACATCTTAGAATTTGCTTTCCTATGAGAAGAACAAATTTCCTGTTTTGGTGATTTCTAAGTAATGCAAGCAATTTACCTAATTTTGTGTCAACAAACTTTGGCATTTGAACTATCGTGAAGATGGAATAATTTTTAATTTTATTTGGCTAAATAGGACAGAAATTTACTTCACCGAATTATTTCTGTTCGGTTCCATTTCCGTTGTAGTTGTAGCGGCGAAATTCCGCCGAGTTGACAGTCCTTAGCCGGATAAAAAACCTTGTCCGTTCCGGTTACTTCGATCCAACTGTCGTGGGAATCATTTCCGTCAGCAATTTCCACTTGAATGGGACCCTCCTTGACTCTATTAAGACTTGTACTTGCAGGGTTCTTAATGCAGCCGGTTTTCGTAAGCGTAAACCAAAACCAACTCGGGATTATATTAATTATACACTCTAGAACTATAATTTTACAACCAATAGTAAAACATATGTTAACGTTATATTTGGTTGCTTTGTCATCCGGCTAGAATATCCTTGTTTGGCCCGGGCAAGGTCTCCATTTGCAGAAAGAATATGTTAAAATGCTATTTCAAAATATTTCATTACGCCTCCTTTAATTTATATATTCATTCTACCTTGTTTTTGGCTGAAATATTGATTGCACTCCCTCTAGGTCGACTTTGATTGTTCCTAAGATGGAAGCGTTACATCCTACAGCGAAATTAATGCAAGGACTGCAGTTTGCTGCTAGCAAACATCGTACACAACTGCGGAAAGATAATGAGACACCCTACATAAATCACCCTATAAATGTGGCAACCATTCTCGCTGTGGAAGGTGGTATCTCCGATGAAAATGTACTTATTGCTGCTCTATTGCATGACACTGTTGAGGATACCGATACCACATTTGAAGAAATCGCGCAACATTTTGGCGAGGAAATTTGTGCAATTGTGCGTGAGGTCACGGACGACAAGACATTGAGGAAACAAGAACGCAAACGCTTGCAAATCGAACATGCGGCAAGTTCAAGTGAGAATGCGAAATTAGTGAAATTGGCGGATAAGTTGGACAATCTACGAGATTTAAACAGGAAAGCGCCAATCGGTTGGACACCTGAGCGTCAAGAACAATACTATGTTTGGGCTAAGAAAGTGGTGGATAATATGCGTGGCACAAACGTAGAGTTGGAGCGCGAATTAGATGAAATTTTTAAAACTAAAAAACTACTTTAAAATATATTTTCCAAATAGATATCGGTTTAATTTATTAATTCTTAGCTATTAAATTAATGAACTTTTGTGAGAAATGAAAAGAAACATATTTAAAATACAAATATATTTATTATTATTAATAACCGAACGTTTTTTACTAGATTCGATTGTGTTACGTAATTTATTAATACGTACCAAGTTATATACTTTTACCTTTAATTAAGTTTGTTTATATTTTTAAGAGTGACATTGCTACACTTACTCAAACAATAAATCAATCTTTAATACGCTCTTATACGTCTTATACGTTAGAAGTGAAATAATCGAGATGACCTCCTGTAGCAGTTATTAAGCAAGGATGAGTTAGTCATTAAGCAAACATTGAAATGTGACGTATTTATTTAATATTGTAATACTTTAATTTGTTAACAAATTAAAATGAAATCCATTAAAGTAATATTTAAATTTCACTTAAGCTTATCAATATAAAAATGTTTAACGGAAAAAGACTTACGTTGGTATCATACAACCACACGTTGATTTAAGCCTAAACAATTTTACAATTGATAAAAATATTAGAGTAGCCACGTGCAATCTTAAAAAAATTCACTACTTATTTGCGAATTACCGACTATGAATTTTTCGTTGTATCTAGAAATTTTTAATTTCAGCCGTTAGCCAAAGGAAATTTCAATTCTTTTATATCCACGGATAGCTACACATATTTTTTAGTATGCTTAAAGTGTGTCAAGTATTCAATGCGTGCTTATTTTGACTGTCGTGTCTATTAATATATGTAAAGAGGGATATACATACCTTGACAGTAGATTTGTCTATTAACCCTTATATTGCGTTGATTATATGAACAAAAAATTAATTAATAAAATTACTTATAACGTTTCCAAAACATACATTTTCAACATTTAAGAAATAAAAAATATATCGTTTATCACACTTGGTTCCATGGGCGATATTCTACATACTATATTTACATGCATTAAATACTATTATCCTTGTAATGAACTATTCAATAAAGTGAAAATGTCCGTTATAAATAAAGATGAAAACGTTATTACCGACATAAGAATCTTGAGGTATAATTTTGAAAATGATTGATACAAATATTTGTGAATAAAAAAATAATGAATTTTCAAAACCTAAACAGAAAAAAATATGGTGAAAGCTAAAAAAACTGCAGCCAGCTGGTGACTGGTCTGCTCTTTCCATTAAATTTTCTAGTAAAAATGGATGATTTAAGAATGTTTCCGGTGATCTTTTTCCACCAACACCACCGACAAGTTTATCGTTGGCGTTTAAATATTTTGTTATGAATATTCCTTTTGATTTGGCTTGGGATTGAAGAATTCTGTGAAAAAGTTCACATTTTTATTTTCGAATTCTGTCATGTCGTAGTTTATCACCACATCATTTCAAACCCAATAGAAAATAATGTTTGGTTATTAGATGTTTCTTTTCCTTTTATTTTTATAAAAAACATTACCAATAAAACCAATTTATAGTCTCCCCATTTTCGAAATTTTTTAATGAATTTTCGAGCCACACACTATATTTGACTGTTATATCATTTCAAACAATTCATATACTTGTAGATAAAAAAAAAATACTCCAATTTCCACCATATGATTTTTTGGTAAACACACACGTTTAGTAGATAAGTATGTTTCGTATACGCACTGAAAGCAACAATATCGAGACCCACATTCACTTACGTATTAACATAATATGACGTATACGTTGGCACAATTAAACGAGTAAAGAGTAAGAAAATACAATAACACATACATACATGCATATGTACATACATTAATAAAACTTAGAAAATGTTGAAAACACAAATTAAAATTTTGGTTATGGGCGACCAACAATATATGTACGTGGCGTAAATGTAGGTAGACAAAAATTTGAATTGAGTGAGTCAAATGAGATACATTATTACTTTTTTTGTTTTACAAAAACTATTTGCCATAGTTTTACTGCACTGTTACTGTATGTATGTGTATGTATAGTTCATATGTAAATAAATCTGATTTTAGGAACACTATTTACAAATTGAACCGGTGAACACGTGAGTCACCTGTAGCACCATAAAATGCAAGAAAACATATCAACCGTAGTAAATGTATTTTTAACGCCCAAAACAAAAATGATAAGCATTAAACGCAACAGACATTCCTGATCACGCCACGATCGTGTAAATATAGTGGTTGCTTTTTGCATAGTTGAATGGATTTTTGCCGGTCGGTTATGACTTCGTCGGCTATCGCTAATTATGCGTAAACATGTTCGACGACGTCGCTGACTATTTCACTGTTGTTTCGCTTGTCAACTGGCTGATCGCAAATTTTAACTTTATACTTTTATCCATATACCTACAAACATACCACGTATTCACAAGATGTCATAACATTTTTTGCGCATACATACAAACATGTATATTTATGTAGGTTCGCTTCTAGTACATGCAATTGCCGCCTTTCCATCGTCCAATTCACTAACTCATCAGAAAGCGTCGTCAGTGCTGTTTCACTGTTGCTAATGTCCATTCGCGTTCTGCTGTTCGTTTTGTCAACGTTTGGCTTGAGCTTTAGCAATACGTGTCTATCTAAATACATACATACTTACACAGACAAGCTATTTGAAAGAATTATTGGGCACTAGTGTGAAAGCAATTGAATTTAGTTAAGTTTTGGAAAGTATTCTTTCGTCTACGCAGTATTATAAATTTAGACAATTTTACACAACCAATAAAATAATAACGAAAATATTTCACGTGTTTTATGCAACAGTATAAATAAATAAAACTATATAACAAATATAGTAATAATAATACAGCAGTGGAAACATTTTCATTAAACTGAGTGACCAGACTATTTATAGTAACAATTGTGACGTTCAAGCAGTGACAGCATAGATATTTATTTACATCGCAGTACGCCCGGAAAGTAAAAAGGTACAGAAAGGCAAATAAATATTTGTTATTTATTAACGTTTGTTAACCAAAAACATTAAAAAATTCACAATATTTATCAGCTGACTTCTGAAAAAAATATGAATTGTGTTCTGATAACATTGTGGGGATTCCGGCTATTTGATAATTGCAAGAACCAGTGCAAATATGCATATTGAATATAGTTCGATTTTAAGTTAACTTTTTGATAAATTTCCATAAAACAAAATACTTGAGAAAGAAACTAAAATTATTTGACAGTTGTAAATATGAAACGTCAATACAAATTATGTTTAAAATTACATTAATTATGAAAAGAGCATCTAAGTGTGAATTTCTAAAGTATTCCGTCTTCATTTTATTTTTAAATAATAAATTACTCAATTTGGTGATACAGCTGACCAAGATGCTTTTAAGTAACTTTTAATGAGCTCGTCTGACGAATCTCTAAATTAAGCACTTTTATATAGAACTATATAGTATACTAACATGCCGCAGAAATAGAGAGACCCTGAAATTGGAATAAACATATATTTCAATGCCTACAAATAAGTTTGTATATTTACTATTTGTACTTTTATTTTGAAAAAAATAGGGTACTTAAAAGAAATCAGATGTAGATATGTAGATGTAATCAGATAATCTATGTATAGCAAAGGTGTAAAATTGAAAAAAACTAATCTCACCCACCTTATTAGACTTCCATTATATTTTTAATACATAGAATGACCCTAAGTGAGCATAACACCTACATTACATAATTTCTACTTTATATTTCAATAATTTCGTATTATTTTAGGTTTAGAGTTGATCTAGGTTAGTTATTTATCATTTAACATTCATATGCAAATATATTTAAATATACAATTTATTTAAAAAAATATAACTTTTAATAGCTTTAATATAGTAAATTGCTACAATATTTTCCCTAGTGTTAAGTAATTTTAATAGAAAACTAAAGCTGTTTCTACAAACATTTGCATTAAGTAAGCGTTTTTACTCTTTAATTGCAGGTCATTTCAATTTAAACGCGCAAATAAAAAATAATATTGCGATATAAGCACAACTACTGTTTAATTACCGCATGAGCATTCAGAAATTACCGAGGCTACTACAATTTGCTTTTTATAATTGAATCTCTACAGACGAAACTAAATAAAGTCAACAATTGTCGCTTTAATATATAACAAATTGTTTGGCGCACATGCTGTTCAATTAGCTGTCTCACTGCTTCCGCGACAACTACGTATAAGAGAGGAGAGAGAGAGCTGCACAAAGTTCAAAACTGAAGGCGTCAGCGGGTTCGCAACTTTCGTACTTCGCATCATTATCCTCCTTACTATCTTCACACGTACTATTCATCACAGCTACTATATTGTTGTTGTTTCATTAAACAATTTTATTTTGAACGTTTTGCTGCTATGGCCACTTCATCAGTGCTCGCTAACAATCCAATTTCGACACTATCATCAGCGGTTGCTGTGAATTCCTCGTCATCGTCAACAACAACTACCTCACCTACTTTAATTTCAACACGTAAACGCACCTACGATACTGCTATCTCAATGCCCGCTGTCGCAACAAAATCTCGAGGAGCAACTGCCGCTATGGCTAAGGCATCACTTGCCAACAAAATGAATGCGAATGGTAATGATGTTGCGCTCAATGATATACTTGTGGATGGTGTCAGTACAGCAACTGCTGCAATAACGAACAAAGATTATACACGCACAGTTTCACAATGTGAACCGGATGAGGAAGCCTCCGGCTCATCGTCTGCATACTATGATAGTCCTCTTAAGAAGGAGTACGTACCGGTGCCACAGCCGCTGCCCACGATCAGTAGTGGTTCATCAGATTTTGCGGTGAGTGCACTTCCTTTTTTGGTTTTATATATATGTATGCGTATTTGTTTAACTTTTCACTTGTTGCTCAAATTTCCATTTTAGATCGGTTAGTAAAAACACTTAAAAAGACATTTTGAGAACGAAGGTTTAAAACCGAAGCGATATGATAATTTTTTTTTAAAGAATAATAAAAGCCAGCGTTTTAAAGTTCTTCCTGATTTTGTAGAACAAAATAATCTAGTTGTTTAAGTAGTCCAGGATCTTGTTTCAGTTATGTTTGCTAAGGGGAATCCATTTACAGAAGCTAAGTTCCCTTAAATGGGAGTTCCAATGTTCGATTTATTTAGCGATTTGTCAAGAAGGTATCATTACTTTTCCAATTACTCCAATTTATATGGTATATGTAATTGTTACATATATGTATATTGTTATTAAATTCTTTAATCGTTGAAGAAATGAAAAAATGTCTAGAAATGATATATGAAATGAAAAACAAAAATAAATTTAGAATAAGCAAGGATTTTGTCTCATCTAATGTTAATAATCTTTCGACCTTCTGAGGCGAAAACTTATAAGAAAAAATATTATTGCTTTTATGTTTCTTCTATACTGCTCCCCTACCTAATCATTCCCATAAGAACCAATGCTTATTGTTTTATTTCATTGCCTGAACAAGTGGGGTTCATAAAAAAATCGATAAAATCGCCTAATAAAGATTAAGATTACGCAAGGGAAAACTGAAAAACGAATGCATTTTTAAACGAGTACATTTAATGCGCTTTCAAAGTTATATAAAATACAGCAAAGAGATATATTGCAAACAATAAGTAAGAAATACAAGGTTGGTAGATTGTATATTAAAACCTTTTTTTCTCCCTTAAAAATGTAGAACGACCGCCTGCACAAGTTAACCGGGTCTACATAACCCAAACCGATTCTAAAATGTTTGGCGAAAGACTTATGCTGATGCAACAACAACATTTCGATTGTCGAAACTATCTCTAGATTGCTTAAAAAAATATAGCAATGACTATGGTTTTAGATTTGGACTATGAAGAGAACATTTCTTTCTCAGATTTCACTCTAACTTATAATATGTATGTGTGTGCCTACATAAATAAACGTTTTGTATAAGTCCGACTCGCATTTTCTGATATTTTCTGCACTTATTAATAAATTTGACTGATTTCAATTGCCTCCTTCCATAGTTTGCTGCGTAGTTAGAAAGTTGCGCTTGAAGCATTAGAGATGAATGACTTAATTAAAATTTTAAATTAATTCTGGATCATTTATCAACCTTAATTGAAGGCGACATGCATTTTATTTTGTTATAGTAATTAAAGTAAACAGTGATTGCCTATTTTGGTTTAATTGAACCCATCATATTTTACCAACCCTTTGCCAATAAAAATTTTGCTACACACATGTAAATCTATTTAGATCGTCTTAGAAAAACTAAATTCATCTTCAATAAATCAGTGATTTATTTTCAACGACAGTGACTGGTTCACTTGGACAATTGATAAAATTCTCGTTCTGGAAGCACTTCGTGAAACTAGTACAATATAGTGGGTCGGCTTGAAAGGCTGTATGGCATTGCTTAAAATAGATGTCCATATGCATAACTGTTGTTTAAAATTGTATAAAACCAAGTCTTCGGTTGCGACGAGTAGTCATTCGAGGGTCAGATCGCAATGTGGATGCAGTGATGTGTATCTTTCGAAGTTAGAAAAACTATTTTTGCCACAAGTCCAATTCAGCCGGTGCGCGTTCCGGACTTAATTGAATGAAATTGACGAAGCCAAGCAATCTGCACAGGCCGGTCTTCAATTAATTGCTTGAGTAATAATAATTTTTTTGTGTGCACTTTCAATGTGGACTTGATTGTGGACAGTTTAAGTACTTCATACCCATGTGATGAAAGCCTTTTTATTGTAAATAATGCGGAAAATACTTACACGTATACCCTACGGTTAATTTAATGGTTTTATTTATAGCGATTTTGTTAACATTTCCAATTTTTGTAATAATATTTATTTAAATTTAGACAGTGCTGCATTAAATAATAGAATTCGGAATTCGCAATTATTTCCGCATATTATTCGGGCAATACTTGACCAAAGTATTATAAAATATATTAATTACGTAATTGGCATTAAGAATCCTGTTAAGAGGACGCAATTTCGAAATATTTCATTTTTATCTATTTGATTGTTCTTACGAGCACTTCCATGAAAAAAACTGCCATTACAAAATTCTTATTTAAGCCTGCCATAAATGGAGGTTTATATACATAAATAATTTTGAGAGTGCGTACCTGATAATTTGTGATAATTATTGCATTGAGATTTCTCTGAACAGAACTGCCCACAATTTAGCCTCCATAAAAACCAAAACATGATTTATTATATGGTATAAATGCGGTGAAATAAAGAGCGATTGTCTGAAATCAAAAACGAATACAATGCAGAGTGAAATAACTTCAATATAGAAATAAAAATCACGCCACTTTCAAATTGACGCATTGTACATTAAAACATGCCTACAAACATGCATTCTACATTAATATTTGGTAAATATATGTGCTCGTATATTCATATCTCTTAATGGGACACCGTTTATGGCAATATAATTCGAAAATGTTGAAAAATTCAAAAAAAAAAATTCCAATACTTCACACCTTACAATATTATTTCATCGCCAAATTTCTAAGAATTTAATTAGCGCATAGTGGATTTTCAGTAAATGTGGTTTAAAATGGTGCTAAGTGCGAAATTGTTATATAGTAGCATACATATGTATATGTATAAAAAAAATCTAAAAAGTCATAATTAAGCTTCCTTATTGATTATGATTTACTACATCACATATACTTATGTACAAAGTTTTAAACTTGCTCTGTCAGATAAAACCAAGTTATAACCAAAATTCAAAATAACGTTTCATCACTTCCACGGGTAAACAAATACCGAAACTAAGAAAAAGAAAGAAAATATAAAATCGAACATTTGTTCTAATGTCAACTCGAAATTCATCTATAAAAATTACCTACGTCAGTTATAAGGAGTAATGTAAGGAAAAATATCCCTAGAGATCGCATTAAGTTTTGTTGAAAATATTGAAAAGTCCTACACCCTGCATTCTTCAATTTTTTTTATTGATTTGACAGGTTTCACGAAAGAAAACTTATACACATTTTATGATCTACTTTATTTTTGAACTCGTTTTTTAAGTAATATCAATGCGTTTCCTGTCACTTTATGACTCGGCTTCTTTAAGTAAAATATAAGCAAAAATAATCGCAGCTTCATTAAATAAAATTATATATCTACATCGAAAAATTCAACAAAACAAATAAACGATCCGAATCAGCAGAAAAGCAAAAGTTGCGTGTATATCGTTCATTAAAACCAATTTTAAACGTGTTCGAAAGACCATACAAATTATTAAACGTGTGAAAGATGACAACAAATTTGGTGAAGACCAAACCATTGGCCATTAAAATGCTGCCAATGGAAATGGATTTCAAAGATTATGTAAATGTTATAAAGACTAACAAAAATTCCTGAAATAATAATATAAACGTACAAAGAATTGAATAAATTGATGGTTTTTTCATTGCAGACAATTTGTAAGCCAGCACCATTGTCCACTGACGAAGAGGCTGTTGTGGAGCGGGAGAAATGTGACTACAATTATAAAATCACCTATCAAATGGCGCGGTCTGGCCAAACGAAACGACGCGTACGTGTCTACGCCGATGGCATTTATGACCTTTTCCATCAAGGTCATGCCAGACAGCTAATGCAGGCGAAGAACATTTTCCCAAATGTTTACTTAATTGTGGGTGTGTGCAATGATGAGCTAACACACCGCATGAAGGGGCGCACAGTTATGAATGATCAAGAGCGATACGAGGCGTTACGTCACTGCCGCTATGTGGATGAGGTGAGCTCGTTTATCAAAAGACACCTCTAAGAAAATTAAAAAAAAAAAATTGGATCATAAATTTATACAAATATGTGTTTGTCGTTAGATTGTTCCGGATGCCCCTTGGACTCTATGTGATGATTTTATTGCATCGAACAAAATTGATTTTGTTGCGCACGATGACATTCCATACACTGGCGCAGGCGTGGAAGATATATACGCGCCACTGAAGGCCAAAGGCATGTTTGTTGCCACCGAACGCACAGAAGGTGAGTACTTTATTTAACGAACACAGCTGTTTAACAATAATTAAGTCGCACCTAATTTTATGATAGTAGAGAGCCATTGTATTTTTTCATAGCCGTAAAGCTTTCCATTTTTTATTTTGTTTAAAATTCGTATATAATGATGTAGCTTGGCGCTTTAATTTCTACAGAATAGGGCCCCTGGCCTAAGAACAAAAATAAAATGTGAACCTTTTTTTTTGTCAGTCCTGGTAAATATTAATTATTTAATCATATATAAATACGTAAAAACAGTAGTATTTGTCTAATAACTAGTCTGTGTAATTCAATTATTGTACAAAAAAAATTATATGTTTTTAATAATTCTCTTTTTTTTATTTCCGCTCAGGCGTATCTACTTCAGATATTGTCGCACGTATAGTCAAGGACTATGACTTATATGTACGCCGGAATTTGGCGCGTGGTTATTCGGCTAAAGATTTAAATGTCTCATTCCTTTCGGAGAAGAAGTTTCGATTCCAAAATAAAATGGATGAGTTAAAGAATCGCGGACGACGCGAACTGAATAAAGTGAAGGATGATATCATCACAAAATGGGAGGAGGCATCTCGTGATTTTATTGATGCATTCCTTCTACTTTTCGGACGCGAACGTCTTAATCATTTGTGGAACGAATCTAAGGGCAAATTAATCCAGGCGCTCAGTCCTCCCGGTAGTCCAAGTGGTTCAATGAATGGTGACGATGATGAAGACGATTTTGATTATGATGATGATGATGATACCGACTTCGCAACTGTACGCATGCCGGCTCCTGCTGCGAGGAGTCGAGTCACCGATAGTCCTACATTACGTGATAAAACCGATCGTGGAGCCGATTCTGCCAAGACCACCAAGATGACAACACAAGTGAACGACAACGACAACGATAATGATGATGGCGAATATGAGCATAGAAGTAATTAGAGTAATACGGTACCCAAATATTTCATAGGTAATATTATTATTGTAACGCAAAAAACGCGAAATGAAAAGCAAAAAAGAATTACATTAAAGAATAACAAATACAATTATTTGCATAGATGCAAATGTCTTTGGAAAATATGAAATGAAAGTGTATTATGTTCAAACGAAGTTACTAAAAAATCTCTACACGTTTAATAAATATTTAGGATCACAGACATCATTTGCGATGTAACTTGATTAATTAGATAGAATGATAGAGAGAGAGAGAGAGAAAGTGTGAGCGCGTGTAAAAGATGTACTTTAAAGTTATTGAGCCTATGAGTAGCGTTATATTTAAAGTTATTTGAATATACACTTTATGAATCTATCCTACGAATAAATCTCAATAGAAAAAACTCTAAAATTAATTTCAAATAATAATTATATTCCAACACTCGTACTGCACAACGGCTTGACGATATGAACTGCAAAAGTATGAACAGTAGCAGCAGGAACAGGAAATACCACAAAATAGGATGCTATTTATTCTCCAGTTGTATATACGTAACTTAGACGTTTGGCTATCTATTAGTATTATTCTCGATATTCATTAATGAAATTTTTTTAAATAATCTAAGTGCTGACATATACATGCATGTATATATGCATATACATATATACTGCTGAACACCGGCCTCACTATTAAAGGCAAAGCATTATTTAAAAATTATTAATAGCTGAAAGAATCAAGAAATAATCGAATATTATTGATTGAATAAATGAAAGGGCGCATAGTAACATTTATGCCACAATCCACAGATAAAAGAGATGTTCACCATTATTATAACTAATTTATTTTATAATACAGTATGAATCGGTTGATAAACTGTCAACAATGGAACAATTAGACTTTCAACTATTCCACTATTTTGTACTTCTCTGAAATGACGTTTTTTTGGTAATGGTAATGGTACATCAATGCGTGGTATTTGAAAGGTACTTTGTTTCATTTTCATGTTGTAATATTAAAATATAAGGCATTGGTAGAAATGACTCTGGAATGTATACATATGTGCACACTACAAAACAAAAAATAAATAAAAAAGCAACCAAGTACATACTCAAATGTGTGAGAACATATGTATGTATAAGTCAGTAAGCAGTTTGGCTTGACGATGGTGAAACGTGTGCCCTCTGAAAACTTAACTCAATTTGAATTTATGCCTATTGACACTTTACCGGAAACAAATCAAATGCAAAAAAAAAAAGATTATTTCCGCGTAATCCCACTAATTTTAAGTATTCAACGTTCTGATTTATTATACTTAGATATATTTATAACGAAATATATGTATATACACACCATGCTTTACAACATGCATGTATGCGAAATATAATTATATTTTCGACTGATTTCTAACAAATACTTGTTGAAAAGATATTATTTAAAAACAAGTAAATACACACACACACTCACAAATGAAATCAAACACAAAGGTTGAAGAAGGTAAATGACAAATTGCATAAGAGCGCTAGGCGCCAAAATACCCCAAACTAAATAATATTAAACCAATTTCAGTTTAAGTGACGTGCATTTGTATGTATGTATATCCGCATGCTTGCATGTAATGATATGTGATGTTTAGAACGAAAATATGTCCAAATGAGATTATTAAATAAATACAAGTGTCTTACACAAAAGTGTTGACAAAAAAATCGTAAAAGCTGCATACGGAAAATTTGAGGTTTTCATAATTTAGACACGAATTTTCGTTAATAGCTGCATACTCATCGGGGCATACTAGAGTGGTGGTAATCAACAAGCTACATAGCAGGAAGAAGGAGCACGCTACTCATGACAACAAAGACAAGGATGCCCATATTAAAAACATACAAGGGAGAAAAAATATTCAAACATGGGAGATCTGTCTGATACTTTACAAATGCGAATATTTACTTACCATTTCCATAGTTTAAAAAAATATAACGTAACACTTTTGCCAATTAGTTGAGTTTATTGCATTCTAATTGTCAGTAATATTTGCATAAATTTCGCAATTCTGTACACTCTATGCATTATAGTATTCCGATTAGCAGCGAATTTTAAATTCAATAGTCTAGGGTTGTGGCTCGTTCACAATTTTTAAAACAGAATTTTAGCATTATATCATGTTTGTTCAATTAACAATTCACTCCAAACACATACAAACTAAGGAAAACCAAACGGAAAAATAATTCATTTCAATATTGAAATTACATAGATTACTTTGAAATGTGTGCACAATACAGTTGAACAATATTAACTCAAAATTTTCATAAATATTTATTTGCCAGCATAGTTTATGCCAGTGGAGAAGAGTGGCGTCATTTTTTTAGCCTTTTTATTCTTTTTACCACCAGCGCTAGCTGTGGCAGTAACAGTTTGCTTCTTTTGTGTTATAGCCATGGCAAGAACATCACCTAAATCTGTACGCATTGGTGTTGTGAAACCAACGTTTTCGGCTAAATACTCATCAAGCGATTCACATTCACTAGAGCGGCCAGAACTTATGGTGCGATTGGTAGCAGCTGTGTTGGCCACAAAAGGTTTTGAATTGGATATATTTTTACCCCAAGTTGATAATTCCTTATACATGTTATTGCTGCTGTGGACAGGCGATGCCAATGTCGGCCAGTATTCTTCTACGTTTGGCGATTCTCCAACTACAGCTACAGTTGAATAAGTTGCTTGAGTTTTTGTCTTGGGTAATGCAATTGGGTTGCTAGTGTTGTTACCCGTAGTAGCGCTGCTGCCGGGCAGTGCCTCTTCAAAGCCCCACTAAGAAAAACGGTTATGATAAGCAAAATAATTAGGTAGGAGATATAAACAAATTTCTTACTGTTGGAAACTCTTGTACGGATGATAAGTTCAAATTTGCTGTGCTAGCAATCAGTTTTCCCATTTGACGATCATTAATTTCATTTATGTGCTTTTCGCGTCGACGTTCCTCGCGTTCGCGACGCTGGCGTTCTTTCTTGCGCATTAAAATATCGTCTAAATTCATTGTGTAATAAAAGTTTATTACATTTCTAATTTCAATAATGTGACCATTTTGACATACCTTTAAATAGACATAGTATCTCATTAGATACAAATGGTGGTTGCATATCGACTTCAATTACTGCAAACTGACATGTTAGTGGTAAATGACCAAGGCAAGTAAATTTACGGCGGTGTTCTTCATCCATTGAGTGATACTCCTTTTGCAATACACGAGCATTAATTACCAAAGGAGCGTGTTCTAATGCACCATAACATGCTTGTAGCATTTTTACATTTAAAGGATGCAAAAAAATATTTTGCCCATCCACAGATTGGTAAAAATAATAATATTTTGTATGAACTTCTTCATTATCCACGTAGGATAGCGCCAGACTACTAGTATTTAGCGAATTATCATCATTGCTAATGATGCCTTCAGTACCGAATACATCAACATCTTGCTCGAGTCCTTCAGCATTATCATTTGCTTCATTAAGCTTACTCGCATTTGAATGTTTTTCTATATCCTCTTTCATTTCTTCAACGTTCTCTCGTCGCTCCTTTTGCAAGTCCAAARCTTGCTGTATGAAAATGTATTCTGGACTTGTTGGATCTTGGCCAGCAACCAATTCACGTTGCTCACGATCAATTATATTTAAAATGTCACTGCGATTGGCAATTAAGAATTTTGAAAAACTTTTTGAATCATTTTCGGCTGAAATCAATGGATAGCTATTCACAGCATTTTGATGAGTATTAGCATCATATTTCTCAATCATCATGCAACCTTTTTTACGACGCATCAAATGGAACGTAATTTCATCGCCAATACTGAACTGACGTTGTTGTTCAATCGTAGTACTTTTCAAATCAGCTGTATGTATGGCTTCATAGCAAATAGGACATTTGCGCCAAGTCTTATCACTTAGCGCTAAATAATGTAGAATACATGGCCAGCAATATGCATGACCACAACGCGTTAATTTCGCTGCAATCGGTGGATATAAGCAAATGGGACATTGTGGCTCCTCTTCAGTTTGAATATTGATTTGTTCAATAAGATTCCAATCGATTAAATTGTCAGGCGAGGAATAGACACTCAAATTAATACCAGATTTCACAACAAATTGAAAACTAGAATAAGAAATTTGCATTGTACGACAATTTAAAGTTTTTAAGAAATAACTCACTTAGCTTGTAAGAATTGCTCTTTATTATAACGATGGCGTTTACTCCCGTTACTGGCTCCATGTCGCTTTGTGGCCACAGTTGAGCCACTACCACCGTTTCGGCCAAAAACGTTGAAACTAAAAGCGTTGGCAGCGTCACGCGGAGCGTAATGAAAATTGAGCAGATGATTCAAATTCTGCTTTTTGCTCCCTGGTGCGTACACAGAGTTCAATTCGTAGTCTGCATATTGCTGCGACTTTTTTTTGGTCAATGCACCGGTCACCACCGGCTCTACTACCGTGGCTAATCCGGTGCTGGTAGCAGAAACATCTTCAGTCGCGCATGTAAGATTGTCTTCGCTAATGAAAGCTTCATTGCTGTTGCTAACATTGCTCCCGGAACCGCCGCCCCGTTGGCGTGGTCGTTTATCGACATTTGGTCGCGCTTTAACTGAAGAGTACTGCTTCGAATTCCGCTGCGAATCGTTACGAGTGGTTGACGGTTGTTCTCGACGTCGGGAATTACGAGGTAAACACTTATTGACTTGTAAATCTAAAAATAAATATCATAGAATAATTTTGTAAGGTTAAAAGAAATATTTTTTTACCTGAAGACGATTTGCGTAGTGAGGAATCAATTGGTTGACACGCCTTTGAGCGTGCAAAAATGTTTTGTGGTTTTTTGTTCTCCATTGTTATTAAAAAATATTTTAGATGAAGCGCAGCTAATAGCTGGGCAAAGGTATGGAAACTTGAAATTAAAGGAATTCCTTGACAGCGAACTGTAGTGTATGAAAATTTCTCCAGATGGAGTTTTATGCACTTTATTAATTTTTAGGCGAGACATTTTTACTGAGCCATGATTTTAACTACAAAATTCACGAAAAAATAGTCGCGTATATAAGTGAATGCACGAAGTATATATTTTTTTTTTTGCAAAAACGAGGAGAAGATTCGTAGGCGAGTAGACCTAGTACATCAGTGGATGACGTCGTCAATTTTTTATGACTTCAGCAACCGTTTTCGCCTTACTTTAGCAAAGTCTTAATT